ACAGAATGTATGTGATGGGGGAAAAATCAGGGAGGTATAGAGAGGACTTCTGGTCATGTGGATAGTGCTTAAATGGGTCAACAGATTTAAGTAGCTGCTGTATTTTTCCCTTGGTTCATGTAAAAACTCCAAACATCTTAATGCATGGCTTACTCTCCCTCTTGGGAAAAATCACCCAACACCTCTGCAGAGGTAGGCAAGGTGTGCTTCCAAAAAGCCAGATGGATTTTTGACTAAGAGAAAATGATTTTTTTTTAGGGATGGAGTCAGTAATGGCACTGCTGGAGAAGTAGCTCAGTTGTGGCAAGGCCAAGCACTTGCTGAGTTCAGTAGTGCCAACAGCCAGAGCATCAGATTTAAGGCTGGTGCTGAAGCCTGAGGAGATGCTGAAGAACACAGTCAGCAACATTAGCTCTTGGCATGTGGCATCAGTGTCTGTGATAATGGAAATAAATGATTAGTAAGTCTAAAAGAAGATATAAGTAGACACATACACCATCCTAACGCTGGAGGTGATTCTGTAAGGAACACACAACTGACTTAAAACTTGTAGGATGACACTCTGGATATTCACTCTGGATTCAGTTCATCTGTGAATACCCAGCAAACAAGACCTGAAATGGGATGATGTGTAAACATTCCCAAAAGAATAAAATAATCCTTTGAAAGGATCATTCAGACTCTGATTTTCCATTGGAGTTGGATCTGTTTCTGAGTTATATTTTTTTATTCTATCACAATATAAAAATGGGCTTAATTTAAAAGTCTGCCTGGATTTTTAAGCTTATAAACAAATAACTTAAAATAAAATCAAACTGAAGGCAAGATTGCATGCGTGCTCATTAGCACACAGCAGCTTCCTCTCTTCTGTGGAAATTAAGCCACAAATGACTGGAAGAAGCCCTGCACCACGTGTCCTCAGCCACCTTCAAAGGGGAACTTCTGAAACACCTCAACCATGAGCCCAGCTACTTTTAAAGACTACAATAATATAGTAAAAATTGCAAGTTTAGAGGCAATAACATTTGAAGTCTCTGCAAAGTTTCTTGAGAAGAGACCAGAATTTACAGTAGTTAATCAATTGTTTCAATTTTAAATGCAATACAGCAACTCTCCATTCACACAACAGGATGGGTTTGGAGGGGAAAATATGCAATTTTATAAAAAAATAATTTGGAGCACAGTGCTGGCCAAAATCAAGACAATCAGTCTGTTCATGCGTGAGGGAAAAAATAACCTCCTGACATTATCTTTGTGTTCTTCTTCTGCTAAAATGATACAGATGCCAGCTAACAAAAGTTCTCTTGCTTTTACTGCCTTGAGCCCTCCCATGACAGTCCAAATGAGATGAGCTAATGGCAGGAGGAAAATGTTCAAGGTGCATCATCATGGAACAGGCAAATCAAGTCATTGGAGCTCGTCCTTGTCAGAGAAGCAACAATGGGACTGGAATTCCCAAGAACAAAAAGATACAGACTCCACCACATCCTGCTGCTGGCCATGAAATCACACAGGTAAGGGGACAGAAAGGGACCAGGTTGTCCTGGTCTGCTAATAAATGGTAGGAAAACCTGTTTCTCAAAGGTTTTCACACCCAGGAACATTTCTGGTGCAGGACAATCCCTGCCTCTGCTCCTTGGTGGCCAGGTCAACACCTGCAGCCCAAGTTCAGAAGCAGCAACACCCTTGGGCACCTCTGAACTGGTCACCTGCTGGAGCACGACATGTTGCTGTTGTCTACTAGGAAATGACCAAGGACCTCACCACGAAACTACAGGGTGTGGAGTCAAGATGAATGAGTAGATTTATAGATAGATTTTGATATAAATATATATAAAAATTTAGATATCTGTTTATAGATTTATGGCTCAGAACAGAAGCAAAAGGAAAGCAGATGTTTGAGGAGCAGCCACATGTGTCTATGGTGGGTGCACAGGGGTTGGACTGGATGACCTTTCAAGGTCCCTTCCAAACCATCCCATGATCAGCTGCATTCCTGTCATCAGCTGGTTTTCACTGCTTCTTCCATACCTCATGCTGCCTGAGAAAACTCATTTGGGCCTCAGGCAGTCACTGCAGGAGCTGGGACATCAGCACCAGGAGCTTCTCCTTGCACTTCCTACCTCCAGAGCTTTCATTGCAATGTCTTGAAATTACTTTCCTATTTCAGAGCTGCTGCTAGATTAGCCAATTTATATAACTGTATTAAATACAAATAAACTCATATCGTACAGGCTATGCCTGTTTACACTATTTGTCATTTAATCCCCTGGTGCTGAGAAAATCTATAGTCTTTCTGTGTACTGGAAGAATTAAACATTTAGCCTCAAGTACAGAAAAAAATGGAGGAAAGAAAAGATGGGAAATTAATATTTATACACTCCATGTAAACACATCCCACGTTTTACAGAGATCTGAACGCTGTCTGCAGGATTCTCCTCCAGCCTTACAAATTCAATCCTGCTTTTTCATTTAAAGGTCAAACTCTACAGGCAAAGTTTGCAAGATTTCAGGTCTCGGAGGCCAGGGCAGTTCTCCTTTAGCACCAACCAACAGAACAAGCCCAAACCACAATTCCACTGGTTTGGAAAACCACTGAGGTTCACCAGTTCTGACTACAGCATGTTAATGCTCAGCCCTATGGGCACCTGTCAGAATTTAATGTGTTTTAAGCTGTCTACTCATGCATAATATGAATATTTATTCATCCCTCTTCGGTTGTTTGCCAGAGATTTATTTTAAGCTCCTTGGTTCTGGTGTAACAGATATTCTCCTCCTCCTCCCATCCTTGCCTACGCTGTCTGTGACACTTTCAGCAGCTCTCCCTGAGAGTGAAAGAAAAGTTAAAGAAAAAAAAAACCAAAAAAAAAGAGAGAGAACCTGCAATGTTAATGGAAGAACACAGGGAGGTTAGAAAATGTGTTTTTTTGACCTTCACATTCTTTTCCTCAATGACATGAGATGAGTTAGAAAGGAAAAGAATATCTTAAGGTCAAAAAAAAACTCATCAGCTGACAAATTAGTCCTTTGGTGCACCCCAAAATGGAGTTAAAATAAGTCATATTTCCATCCAAGCTCATTGGTGTTTTACAGGGCAGAGAATCTCAAGCATTTCAGTATAAAATGCTGTGTTTCACACAGCTCATTTGGAGCTCAGCATAGTTTCTGCTCCCTCATACTTTTTATGGGCTGGGCTTCAAAACTGCATTTCCCAGTTGGCTGTTAACATCTACATCTTGGGCTTCAGTTTCTTCTCTGCTTCATGCACGTGTTGCTGCCAGTAATGCTAATGGAAGCCAGTTCAAACAGGGCACTGGGGGAGAAAAAAAGCCCTTGCTAATCCTTTATAACCTCACTGCAAAGACAAGTGACTTGTAAACCATGTGAAGAGCCCTTGGGGAACCAGCAGCACCTCAGCTGAGGCCAGCCTGGTGATGAAGAGCTGGGGTCTCCTGCCATGGGTCACCCTTCTGCTGTCCCTGTGGAGCCCAGGGAAGGATGTTTGGGCTGTGTTGACTCTTTTGCTCTCAAGTTTTGCTCCAAGAAAGGCTGATAAACCCTTTTGATAATAGGCACAGTCTTTTTTCTGCCCAAGTGCCCTGGGCAGGACCTTCCTGTTGGCTGCAGGTGCCTCCTTAGGACAACACAGATCAAGTAAAGGCAGAGTCAGCTCATGCAGAGATGTAATGCTGATCTTCACTTGTCTCTATTTTTGTTTGCAGAGACCAAAATGGGCATGGGCAAATGCCATATAAGCTTGTCCAACTTTGAGCTAGAGCAGAACTAATTCTGTTCAGTGATTTTGCTTTTCAGCTCAGTCTCTTCTAAGTCACTGCACTGTCTGAAGTTAACAGCAGATGTCTGCAGACAGTTGCTGCTTCTAGCAATGATAATTCTCCACGTTTCATGCTACTACCAAGGGTTGGGCTGTGGAGAAAGAGTCTGGCTTCTCCTTGCTCCTGTGCAGAGCAAGGTCACTGCTACATCTTGTGCCCCACGTTAGGGTGCAGTGAGTAAAAGGTGGCACCTGCTGGAAGGAGCAGCCAGGAGAGGTGAACCTAAACTGACCAGGGGGAGATTCCACCCCATGTATGGCATGTTCAGTATAAAGCTGAGGCATCACCAGGGTCAAGCCTCTTCTTCAGTGGCCAGCAGCTGAGGAGAACTGTTCTCAGATCAGCACTTGCCTGATCCAGACATCACTTGCTGAATTGTGTTCTGACTGTAAAAACTCCAGATTACAACTTGCATTGGAACATTTTAAAGTATTCCCTATATAGCATAAAAAGAATTGATGGGGAGAGCCTCTAACCAGATACTATCTGTCAGTGCCAGTGTATGGGAGAATTAAAACTGACAGCATTAGAGCTCTGTGATTGATTTATTGCTTTATAATCAATCTTTCCTGATTTGTTGTCCAATACAGGCCTTTCCCCAGATCTGAAGGAAATGGAGAGTGATTATAAGTGTAATAATCTATATATTCCCTGCCTATAACCATTCATCAGGCGTCGGACAGGCCAAAAATGAAGACATTTGTCAGTGTCTCTCATTGTTTATCAAATAATGACTTTAACTATTTTTGTCAAACCGCTAGAAAAACAGACTTGACAGAAAAAATCCTCAACACACATAACAAACACTTGGAATTCCTGAAATGCAGAAATTCAGCCCTGGATAAGAAATAGCATAATGAAACCAGAGTTTGTGCATCTTTTCAGAAATTCTGACATTGTATTGCAAGGGTGAGACTCTTGCATCGTTCTGCAACAAGATGAGATGTCCTACAGAGGTCAGGAGGCTTTCAAAAAGCTAATAGAAATTTAGGAATAACCAGAATAATGAAGTTAAACTAGATGAGATGTGTTTTTTAAAGGACACCACCCGGGCTCCGCTCACACCAGCATCAAAGGGGAAAGGTGCAGCACACGTGGAGCTGCTCGGGATCTCCTGGATGCCAAGGTGAAGGATCAATCCTAGACAATAAAAATGGCACTGACCTTTCACAACCAGGCTGCCCGTGCTGCTCGCTGTCCCAAAGTGGTTTGTGGCCACGCAGGTGTAACTCCCTGCATCAGATTTGGTGACGTTGACAATCCGGAGGCTCCCGTCGTCCAGAACAGAAATTCTGGAATGACAGCAGGCACAGAAGTTTTATCTTAAGTCAACATAAAGCTGTTTTGAGCCTGCATTAATTATTGACTGCTTGAACAACAGACAGTCCATGGCTGTTACAGAGTTCAGCTGAGAAAAATCTCTCAGGACACCATTCATAAATACTGAGTGCATCCTTTAGAGGATTTTTCCCTCTCTTTACTTGAGGGCAACTTCACCACACCAGCAGCTTGTGCATGTTTTACACGTGTCTCTGATAGCCAGCACTCCCTGTGACAACCCTTAGGACGTGTGGCACACCTGGAACCACCACGCTCCCTGCTGAGCAGGGTAACAGCTTCTTCCCAACAGATGCACTGAAGCAGATGTTCCACTGCTGCTTTTTTACAAGAAGGCTGATGGCTTTTCAGCCAGGCTGCCAAACTTCCCCTCCACGCTCTCCACCTCTCAGCCTGCAACATAGCTCAGCCCATGTGTCTACTTGCAGGTTAAAAAGCCCCAAACCCTTATTTTGTGTCCATCCCCTCCTCACATCCATACTCCCTGTCCATCAGCGTGGTTATCTGTGGTGGTACCCACCTCCTGGAGGGAAGGAAGCAGGGAGGGATTCCACCTTAACTCCTGGGGTGATCCCCAGCCCCCCTTTTTGCACGAGGGCTGCACTCCAGGCTTGCTCTGTTCTCACAATGAGCTTTGTCTCCTTTGCCATTTTATTCTGCTCTGCTCAGTCAATGGAAACAGAAAACCTGAACCTGCTTTGTAAATCCCATCAAAACATGAATGACTTGAGCCCTGTGAAGGAATAATCTAATGAGAGTCCAGGAAAAAAAACCACAAACACTTTCCCCCCAGCTTAATACCACCTCTTTTAGCAAAACACTTGTTTGCCTGCTCAGTACCGTGTCTTGCAGCAACCTCCTTTCTCCCTTCAGCCACTTCCAGCCCTGCATGGAAAATCTTGTATTAATTCCTGCTTTCTCCTGCTCAATTTCTTCTCAGTTTAACTAACTTGAAGGAAAATGGAGAAGTCTTCTCACATCCTTAATGCCAATCAAGCTCTGCACAACTGGACTGAGGAACTGGGAGGACAGACACTGAGCAAACACCACTTGCAGCAGCACAGAAGTGCTCAGATGCCACTCCACACCTGAGAAGGCTTCCAGGGACAGACCACACGAATCAGCACGAGCACAGGCTCAAAGGACATCTGCTCTCAGCAGCCCTGGGGCTCCCCAAGCTCCTGCAGCTGCAGCCACCGGGCTGAGCAAGGCTGCAGCGAGCCCCAGGAGACCTCGTGTCACCTAAGGGAGCCAGTGTGGGTGCCTTTGGGCATGCCACGTTCTCCTGAGGGGTGTACACAGGCTCCTCAGTCCACAGGCATCAACCTGCTTTGAAAAAACATGACAGTTTGAGTGTCTTTATGATGACACTGCCAAGGGAGCAGGAGGAAGGTGGTGCAAGATGCTCTGACAGCAGCCAACAAACCTCCGTCACAGGATCACACAATGGTGGGGTTGGAAGGGACCTCTGGAGATCATCTCGTCCAACCCCCCTGCTCCAGCAGCTCACCCACAGCAGGGTGCCCAGGGTCACATCCAGGTGGGGTTGGGATATCTCCAGAGCAGGAGACTCCACAGCCTCTCTGGGCAGCTGCTCCAGGCTCGGGTACCCGCACAGCAAAGAGACATCCACCCATCCATCCATCCATCCATCCATCCACCCATCCATCCCTCCATCCCTCCCCCAGCCTGTTCTTGCAGCAGCACAGCAGCACCCAGGCCAGCTGGCAGAGACCAGGGACAGAGGTTATATTTCACACATCAGTAGCAGTGATATTAATAGAAGTTTTTCAGCGGGCTTATAGGTCTCCAAATTGTTGCAGTCAGTAACATTCACCACTGTAATTTATTTTTGCAGGAGTCCAGTGCCATATATTTGCTTCTGTAGCAGTTGCTCCAGCTCAGTAATTGGAAGAGAGTAGTATATAGCTACTTGTCTCTTATCTTCACTACTATGTTGGCACAAATCAATGCATGGATTACATTAAATGTGCACTGGAGCACAGGACTTGCCACGCTGGCCTCAGGTACAAGAGCCCGGGCAGCAGCAGCACCAGGAGCTCCCAAGGAATTATTTACTACTGTTATCAATTTCAGGGCTTGGGAAACAACAGTGCCTTTCTGAAAGCTGAAGGTGCCCTTGGCATGCATTAAAATTCAAATCAATCCAAACGACAGAACCAGCTCAGCAATATGCTCCAGCTCAAGAAGGACCACCCTGCTCCAGCACTGCCCCGCCAGGCTCTGCACTCCCTCCCTCTGCGTTTTTGCCATGCCAAAATATCCAGGAAAAAGAGATGGTTTAAGCTATTTCTGGACAGTTGAGCTTTTATTTCTATTCCTATTTTATTTTTAGCCATGTGGTTGAAACCTGTTTACTAGACGAACTGTTCCATAGATCATTTTAATTGTATCTGTTTGAGGGCAGCTTTAATTTCAAATTCCAATGCCTTTCTGTCTCTTGTATTACTGCTTTCCCTCTAAGCTGTCTTTATTCCCAGGGTAAAATTAGTCTGTAGTTAACATGAACTGGGTTGCCCTGGAGACAACCTCTGGATGAGGACAGTCAATCCACCACCAGCTCTGGCACATCTCAAGGAGCCAGTGCTGTCTTTAATTCCTCCCATCTCTAAGCTGAAAGGTTGGTTGGCTTTCCAGTCTGAGCACACGAGCATCCTTCCACCCTGCTAACATGCTGCAAAGAGTTCAGGTGGGACTGGCATCCTTCCCTGGAGAGTTCCTGGGCAGGTTTAATTCTCATCTGCCAACAACACAATTCCCTGCACGCTCCTGTAAACAACCAGCATTAAACCAACACAGAATTGTGCAACTTAACTGAACTTCTAAAAAAATAAATCAGCCCATTAAAACCTTAGTGTGACTCATTGATGAGGAGGCCTTATGGTTACGTGGCTCTTTTTGCTGAAGGTGCTTTTCCAGACCCAAGGTTTTGTCCTCTAATTCGAATCCAATGTGTTAGAAGTTAACAAGGAATTCTTTTAACACTTTGAAATTTGTTACAGTTAGCTGAGAACCTAGGAAGGACTTGCACTGATTCTGCTCATTCACAAATTTCCTTTGCAGACATATTTGCATTAACTGAGAGGCTCATTTCAGGCCGCTGAGGGTTCTCAAACTGCTAATTGGCTGGAAAGCAAACAGCCCTTCATCAACCACTTCTAGGAGTTTGGGTGAAAAAGTTCTTTCCAGCCCCAAAGTGCAAATTAAATGAAGCACTGCTCGGTACGCTCTCTTCTTCTCCATACAGCCCCAAAATGTTTTCTGATAAGATGCTGAGGAAGACATAAAAATAAGCCACACTTCCAAGAAGTGTATCACTTCAGAACAAAGTGCTGGTTGCTGAGTGTGCACCTCTTCAAACCACTCCAAATTCCAACCCACGAGCTACTGACTTGCTATCGACTGCGAGTGTCTGGGTTCCCTGACACTGCTAACCACAACAGCAGCAACAACAACTGGAAACCTCATTCTCTCCTTGTACAGGTTAATGCAGCTGCTCCTCTGAGAACCTGGTTCATGGTCGTCAATGACATCAGAGAAAAATCAAAGAAGATAAAATTATCTATGTGAAAAATAAGAGGATAGGAGAGTTTCGCATCGTTATATAAAGAAAGGTCACCTATTTGAAACACAGCACTGGTAAGAGAGAATCTGTTGGTCTGTGCTGTCAGCTGGAGATTTCAGGTCCACAGAGAGCAGAGACACAGTGGAAATTAGGAGATAAAAGGATTCTTTGTTTTCTAAACCAAAGCTTTGGGTTCTACCCCAGGAAGAGCTGACCTTGTCAGCATTTTGATCAAAATCCTTCTGGGGGCAAAGGACCTTTAAAAATGCTGAAAACATTCCTCCATAGCCTTCCTTCCCCATGTTTGTTTTTTTCTTAATTGCCTCTGCAGCAGCAAAAGTAAGAAGTTGGAAGCTGCACACTTTGCATGACCCTACAGAAGCCTCTTCCAAACCCAACAGGCACATGGTTCCCAGGGCAGCTTCTTGTGGGTGCTGCAGGTCTGAGGACTGCCTTGGACAGCTCTGCAGTAGAAGGGTCTTTATTTGGTTGGTATGAACCTTGAGAAGTACATGAAGGAGAAAATCTTGATGGATGACAGCTACCTAAGCATGTGGTACAGCTGCACAGAGCTCTGCTACCCAAAGACATCCCAGCTACACAGAAAGGACCCACCTTGGCATCGTGACCACATCAGCTCTGGAGTCCTCACAACAACAAGGACACCAACCTGCTGGAGCAGGGCCAGAGGAGGCCACAAAGATGATCTTCAGACCATCTGCTGGGAGGCCAGGCTGAGAGAGTTGGGCTTGGGCAGCCTGGAGAAGAGAAGGCCCTAGGGAGACCTTCTGTTGGCCTTCCAGGACTTGTCCCCAAAGATGGGGACAGACTGTTAAGCAGGGTCTGCTGCAACAGGACAAGAGGTGATGGTTTTGAAGTAAACAAGGGAGATTTAGACTAGAGAGAAGGAAGAGATGTTGTACACTGAGGGTGTTGAGCCCCTGGCCCAGGCTGCCCAGAGAGGTGGTCGCTGCCCCCTCCCTGGCACCATCCCAGGGGAGGTTGGGGCTCTGAGCACCCTGCTCTAGCTGGGGATGTCCCTGCTCCCTGCAGGGGGGTTGGACTGGATGACCTTGAAAGGTCCCTTCCCACCCAAACCTTTCTGTGATCTGCACAACTCTCTGCCTGGACCAGTCCAGCAATACTAACTTGCTCAGTTTCTCCAGGATGGATGGAGGAGGTGAAGCAGGCCTGGAGCACTATGAGTAAAAACAGCAGTCATTGTGGTCTGATCTCTTAGCAGTTCCTCTCCAGCTCATGGTCCATCTGTGAAGTCCCCCACCAGCAGACTGCCTCACCTGCCAGCCCGAGCCCAGGGCAGATCTGCTTCCTGCAGCTCACCACAGCATTCCCCACTGCTGGGCAGGA